AGTGTGTCCTGACTGGTTTTTGAGCTTCTTTCTACCAGTTTTGCAATCTGTTTGTCGATTTCTTCCATTTCTATCCTCTCATCTATTCTCAAGCTTAGCTCTTTCTCTTCTGATTCTATTTTTCTTTTTTTTAAGAGCTTTCTGAATTTTTTCAAGACTCCTTCTATTCCTTTCTGCTATGCCTTATTCCACTGAGTCTTGTAAGTTATGCATTCTAGCAAGTGTTCTGTCGTTTCCTCTTCCTGGCCACACGTTATAATTTAATTAATTATATATTTTTATATAAATAATATCAAATAATATAAATAAAAAAACTCTTTCAACTGATTTTTAACTATACACAAAAAAGATATTCACAAGAAGTTTTATAATTCCTTATTAATAAAATCTTATATTTTCATTAAAACAACTTGAAGATTGTTTTCATTTATCTTTTCTATCCTTCTTTACTTATTTATAAACTTCTTTGAATAAAAACTTGAATCTCTAATGGCCTAAAAAAACTCAAGTATATATTTCATCTACTAAAGGCAAGAAGGTTTTAGAAAGTAAAAGGACTGACAAGTAGAATGTCACTTCACAAAGCTAGAAGTGACAAGAAATAAAGGTTCTGTTGACAGGTGAAAGTTTATTTTATACCTTCACATATACTGTCTTATATCCTCTTAAAGTGCTTACTGATTTTCATAGTTTTCTTGGAAAATTTTGCTTATCTCAGTTTGACCCTGAATTTTTGATAGCATAATGTTACCTGACATCTGATTAGTTAATAGGAAATACATTAGTAACTGAATATAAACAAGCTCCTATTGGTCATCTCACGTGTTCTGATGATGTCATTGGTAATAGAAAGAGAAATCAAGAATACAAATTCCTCCACTTCTTCAAATGAAGTTTAACTGAAGCAAAAAAATTATAAGGTCATTAGAATGGGTACTAAATTCCCTAGGTAATGAAAAGGTAGTTATTTGTTCAAGCCGAGACCTTCAACTTCTTATTATCACAGTTTGACAAAGTATGCGAAGGAGGTTACTTCCTTATTTTGGTTAGACTATAAGACTAAAAAATAGAGAAATATAAAACATTGCCCTTTTTTAGGATTAAGAATATATTTTTCCAGATATTGTGTAATAATATCATAATCAACGAAAATCTCTATACTCTACAAGACTCTCCCACTATTGCAAAACAAAAAGATTATTAGAGAATCTGACTTTTTGAGTAATGAAAGATATATATCAGTAAAATTTCTTTAACTAGATGTGACTGTTAAAAGATATTGAAAGTTATATAACAAGAATAAAAAGCCACATATGAATCTGGAATCCACTATTAACTGTTTTGTTCTATACAAGTAGATATAAAATCAAGACTGAAAGAAAGGAAGCATTGAGCAAGACACTATATTCGAGTAGGCAATAAGTACTTCAGATGGTTACAAGAAAATAATCAAAAGCACAGTTGAATAAGTTCCTTAGATAGTTAGGAAGAAAAAGAATATTTCAGAAGGATTAATTACTAATAAGAAAAGGTTTCTAGTAGAAGGCCTTTGGAGGACATGAAGTAATTTTAAATTTTTTTTTTTTTCATTTTCATATAGTGTATTTGTATATTTTTAGATATCTCACTTTCCTTTTATTTTTTCCTTTTCCTTTTTATAGTTTCTTGAATTTAGTTTCTTGAAGGATAATAAGTAGTAACAACCTGCTAGCAATAATGGATAAGTTAGGAGGACTTTATCCAAAACTTAGTTTAGAGCAAAATATTGCCTCCAAGGTTGCACTTAGAGGCTGAAGCTCTTTTAAGAATTGAAAGCCATTGATGAGTGTGTCAGTATGAGTCTTTTTTTTTAGCATAATACAATTGCTCTATATATCTCAATCAGTTTTCTTATGATTAATAAATACACAGTACTGATCTGATCACAAGTTTTTTAAAAAAAAAAAAAGTAAATAATATCAAATAATATATAAAGATGAATAATTTTTTTTTGCAAATTTTATAAATTTTTGTTAAATAATAAATAAATAATTGCTAAATTTTTAATGAATGGTCAATTAACTTTTAATGAATAATTTAATAAATAATTACTAAATTTTTAACAAATTGTTAATGAATTTTTAATGAATAGTTTTGATAAATAGTTGTTAAATTTTTAATGAATAGTTAATAAATTTTAATAAATTTTTATGAATTATTAATAAATTAATGTCGAATTTTTATTGAATTGTTAATAAATAATTTTGTAACAAACTTTTAATGAATTTTTGTTAAATTGTTAATAAATTATTTGATAAATTATTAATAAATTTTTTGATAATTTATTGTTAAACTTTTAATCAATAAATTTTTGATTGCCAAATTTTTTGTTTGTTAAATTTTTAATTGCTGAATTTTTAATTACTAAATTTTTGATTATCGAATTTTTGATTGTCACTTTATTATTGAAATGGTAATATGTCAAGTAACAATAATAGAAAAGAATTTAATAATATTTTTATTATTAAATTTAATCAAATTTGGCAATAATTCAGCTGTCGAATAATATAATTTCAATTAGTGACAGTCTATAATCAATAAACTTTATCAAAAAATATGAAAGAATTTCAAGAATAAGATTTAAAACAATTGTTATATCAAAATAATAGACTGAAAAAAAAAGTTAAACATTATTAGAGAAAGAAAAAGAACAAAGAAATATAAAAACAAATAAAATATATTAATTATACTAAACTATAAAAAATCTATATTATCTTTAATAGAAAATATAATTCAAAGAATAAAAGAAAAAAAAAAGTTATATAGAAATCATTAAAGAATAGATCTGTTATAGTATTAAATGATTTGAATTTTAAATTGTAGATAAAACTTAGAATAATCTATAGTAATAATCTGTAAATAATAATTTTACTAATTTAAGATTAATTCAAATTAATAAAGGTGTAAAATATTATTTTTTAAGTTGCATCTAGAGAATTAGTTTTTCTATGATGGATGAATTAATATGTGAAAGTTATAACAAATTTGTAAATATTTTGTATATATACAATAAATATATGCCAATAAAAAAAAAATCAAAAAAACAATAAAGTAAATAATTAAAAGAATCTTTGCTCAAAATATTTATTAAATATTATATTATTCCTATGGTCTAGTTTAGCTTAGAATCATACATGTATACAATGTTCGAGCATATTTTGTACTAAGTAGTCAATGGACAACCTGGCTATTGCAAAAAAAAATATATGGATAATTATTTTTGAAGGCAACAAAAATGCTAGATGTGATTTTTTCGACCCCTACTTTTGAACAATGCGTACACTGTAAATTTTAGGATCACAATTATAGTGCCAAAAAAATCCCTGTCCGCCTTCGAAAATAATTACCCATATACATGAATTTATGTAATCAATATATGCCGTTTAAAAATGAATCCTGGATGAATTTTTGAGGGGTACATAAATAAGGACTGCTTACACAGTTCGTCCATTTTCTTCTTAAAAGAATTAACTTACGTCATAATGTCTTTGAGCGTTAGCATGATCACGCAATGATTGGCTGCTGTTGTACAAGACACGTTTCTCGAAGACGCGTTTAGGTGCACAGATTAAATAGGTTGTTTCCACGTCTTTCGCATATACTTTAAACTAAAAAAATTTTTTTCAAATATATAATCCCATTCTACGTAGGCGATGAGTAACTTACAAAAAAGAAACAAATTCGAAGGGAGAAAAAGGGCTTTACAAAATGGACAAGAGAATGCTATTCTTCAAAAGCTAGGGGTTGAAAAGTATGAATACGGAGGCTCGCGTCTAGGCTGGCTGATTAATATGAGTAAGGTTAGCTCAATTTTTATTAAAATAACTGATTTACGATCACTCGTGCAAATACTGATTTACTTCTAACTTGACTTCCTCTTAGACACATTTGCCAAGTAGTCGACATAAGTCCGGTAAATCTGCCGTCGACTTGTTTTTCATTGAACCTAAGGGAGAGAAAGGAGAAGTCAAGTCTTACTTTAGCTGCACAATCGAATATAATCCGTATTTCTATGTACAAAGCAAGGTTAATATTGCACGATTAAGTTTTTTACTATCGCGCTATACTTACACATTTTCTTATTATTATTCCGATAGCCAGGGAAAGAAAACGAAACAATCGAATACCTTAGAAGGATGTACGACCAAAATATATACGATTGTTCGGTAGTCACGAAACAAGATTTGAAGAAGGTAAAATTTTTTCATCTCATTTTGTTTTAATAATTTAATTAATTCTGTACATAACAATTTTTTATAGGCAAATCATCTGATTGATGGAAGACGAAATTATATTAAACTAGAGTTCTGGAATGTTGCTGACTTGTTATTCGTTAGAAATAAATTAACACACATTGTGAAAGAGAATCAAAAGAAATTAGACGCCGTTAATGTTTACAAGGATCAGACAAGGTAATATTGCTAAAAAGACACACTCATTTTGTCGCTCTTGATTAATCTCTATAAGTCAATTTTTATTTGTGTAGTGCATATGGAAAAAAATATGGAGAGTCCGAATCGATTGACGAGTCTAAAGAACACATAATTGATGTTCGAGAATGTGATATACCTTTTTATCAACGCGTCGCTATGGATTTGGGTAAATTCTAAAATGCTGAAATTTTTGATATTTTTTGAATTAGCTATGAATACGCGCTTTCCATCTCGTAGATATTAGGGTGGGGCAATGGTATACGGTTACCGCCGTTCCTCAAGATGATGGTGTTCATATTTCGTTGCATCATCGAGAAGATTTAAAACATCGTATTGAACCGATTATACTTGCTTTTGATATCGAGACAACAAAAAAGCCGTTAAATTTTCCCGATAAAGATCACGATTA